CATATCATATAGTAACCTGTACATTTCAGTTACAGCTGCCTTCTAATTACTGTTCTTTTATAATTTTATTGAACTTCTTATAAGTAGTTAATCATGCTTAAGTAGTTAATCATTTTTGTAGAAAAATCATGTTAGCAAGCAGTTGGAGCTGATAGAATGGGGGAAGATCTCTCTAGTCTACCATGTCTCCATCACTCTCTGTTGCCTCCCTGCTCTCCTTTCATCCCCAGCAAGCTGTAAGATGGATTGCCTGGCCCCCAACAGCTTTATTTTCCAACCCCAGCATTGAAAATATATTTGAGTGACTAACTAGATGCTTGCATTGTCTGGGTGCTAAGGACACGGTGATGAACAAGATAGGAATGATACTAACCCTCAGGTAGCTTATTGCTTCCTGAGAAAGACAGACTATTCAGCAAATTATAATAAAGTGCTGAGGGGAGCAGTCAGACAGTACTGTGGGAGCCAGTAGCTAGGAAACCTAACAGATTTCCTAACCTATAGGGTAAGCTGAGTTGAGAAAGTGAAATTTAAACTGAGTCCTGTACATCATGTCCAGTAAAGTGAAGAACAGGTGAGAATTCAAGGCACAGAGAACAGCATGAGCAAATTCCTGAAGTCACATAAGTGTTTGTACTGATGAGTTTGAACCTACATATGATTTTAGATCAGTGAAGTTGCTCATAACCAAAGTATACACACCTATGTTTTCAAATTGTTTTTTGTCAACTATTTGTTTCAATTGTAGCCTTAAAGCACAAATAGAAGACATAGCCTAATCACAATAAAAATATGAACCATATTGTAATAGCAGTAATTTAGGAATCAGTTCTGCTGTGCATAAAATGAACAATTGTACCTCACTTTGAAGTGTTTGGGAGGCTGAAGATATAAAGGGTTAAGCACTCAGGAGAGTGCCTTATAGAGAGAAAGTGTTAATCTCTGGAGGTTATCATCATTGATTTACTCAATCTTCACAATAAATTGTTGAAATAATTATTACTCTCTGAATTTTAGAACTGACATTTAGAGAGGTGAAATCTTCTCCACAATAATATGTGTCATTTTTTTAAGATTTAGTTAAGGTATTATTTTTCCTCCCTTCTGGGATAAGTTTTCTTTCTCACTGGTTCCTAGAGAACCATGTATAAAAATGAACTCTACACATTGGCAGATTGCATTGTAATAATTTTTCTGTGTTTAAGACATATGATTCTTCTGTTACCCAGGGAGCTACTCACTGGAAGGTCTATGTTTGTCTTCCTCATACTTGTGTCTAGTGCATAGGGGGCACATAAAGATATTTACTAAATTAAGGTAGAAATTGAATAGAACAGAACATTCTGATTTCACATCATATAGTATGTTTACCGTGCCAGATATGCGTTACAACAATGATTCTTTTAATAATAAGATAATAATGAAGCACCATTTTTAAAAAATCACTAAATGCATTGATAATTAAAAATGTGCCATTGTATAAAGTTTTCCTTATTTTTGATATGTTTGAAGTACACTTTCCGCTTTTAGGGTCCCTTGTTTAATTGTTGTGGAGAAACTGTCGGGTAGCCCGAGAATATTTCTTTCCAAAGGATGAGTGCAGGGGATAGTATGTACTCAGTGTTTCTTTTGACTTCTTTCACAAAAGGAAGCACATTATCAGGAAAATTACATAGAAGCGTCTCCTAGAAGCCATGTAATTTGAGGTAACATAATTTTGGATGCACAAATAACAATCTCTCTCCATTCAGGCATTCAAAAGGTAACCAGACTGGCATATTGCTAATTAAATAACTAAAAGAAATTGAAACCAGTGAAGTGAAAACCAGTGTATTATTTGTGTTAAGATTTCTCTTAGACCTACACTGATGAAATAATATACCTTTTGAAATGACCAGAAATTATGTTTTATTCTATAATAAAATCAAGTTAAAATACTTGCAAAAATATAACACTCTTATGGGATGTGTAGAATACAGCTAACCTTTTACCATATATCCTTCAACTGGTGGAGATATTCTGAAATTTCCAAAAATATTTTATTTGTCATGATTTCCCTATGGTTTACATTTGCTATTTCTTAGTTAATAAGAACAAGTAGAGCAATTGGGGAAGAATTATAGCTACCAAATATTTCTGTCTGTTTTCATCGTGTATCATTTTAGAAAGTAAGAAAGATTAAAATGAGAAAAACTTACCCTCAAATTAGAGTTGGTAAATATCTTTGCATTTACTGTGTTATGTCCTTTTCCATTGAGAGAGGGCTATATAACTATTAGAAATTTATAGTCTTTCTGTCTCCTTAATGTGAAGAGGCTTGGGGGAAAAATCACCCCCAAGTGAAATACTGGCATCTCTCTGTCTCAGTCTTTAAAATCAGGATAATTTCTCCCTTGCCTCAAAATGTGAAAATTATAGGGGAAAAAATAGAGTCAACATGGAGTGATGAAAGGAATGCCCTTTCCAGATGGGTGAAAATTTAGAAATCACAGGACGATTATGCAAGGAGATCTATTTTAAATACTCCTCAAGATTAGAAAGTGAAAGTGAAGTCGCTCAGTCGTGTCCGATCTTTGCGACCCCACGGACTGACTGTAGCCTACCAGGCTCCTCCGTCCACGGGATTTTTCAGGCAAGAATACTGGAGTGGGTTGCCGTTTCCTTCTCCAGGAGATCTTCCCAACCCAGGGTTTGAACCCGGGTCTCCCGCATTGTGTAGGCAGACTCTTTACCGTCTTGAGCCACCAGGGAAGTTGCTCAAGATTATTCCCTTACAAATAACAGAGAGGTAACCATCTCTTTGTGTCACTGAGAAAGAACTATGCGTGATGCTCATTTATTGAAGCCTATCACTGGAGTTCAGAGCACAGGAATTTTGAAATTAATCAGAATCTTGTTGGATGCCTACTATGTGTTAAAACTCCACCATGCCCTGACATTCACTACAGATGGGAGGAGCAACACTCAGATTAGCTTTGTACCTATTAACTCATTCAGTCCTCATAGCAGCCTTAAGAGATGGATATTTCTGATACCAGTTTACAGTTTGAGGAGACTCATGCATGGATTAAAGTCTTTATTCAAGGACTTTACCATGAGAATGATAGAGGTCAAGACTCAATCCCAAGAGTGTAATTTGAAAGCCAGACCTCTAAATATATTGCCCTCTGAGATGAAGTTTACAAGGCTCTATTTAAATACTCACTTCATCAGAAAAAACTACTGCTACCAAATGAAGGGAAGGGGAGGAGTCAGATGCAATAATAAGTGGAAAAATAACAAAATACTGACCCATCTTCCATTTATGAGTCCAGTTTTGCTCACCTGTTCAAATTACTGTTAAGGACATTTATTTTGGTTTTGATTTTAATTTTGAATTTCTTCTTTTAAAAAAATTTGTTTTTAACAAATTTAAATTTCCTGGTGAAATTACACTCATAAATTTTTTGAACATGTTCGTTGTAGTTTTTCTGTATAAAGTCCATTTGTGATAACAACATGTACTGAATTATGTATTCATATCTATCTATTTTCTGAGTTATTGGCAGTTCTTAGTTAATGACAGACCTGGGATTTTTGATCAAAATCCAGGCCTTGTATATGAAAATTTGTAGACATTGTGGTTAACTTATTTACCACAGAAGGTTCACCATTTCATTTGGTAGGTAGACAGGAGTGAGACCATATCACCTTTATCTAAATCAGGAGCTGGGTTGATATCTACCTCTGGTCCGCTCCACTGGCAGAGTATAACCCTCCATGTGTTTCAGCTGTCTGCTAAGAGGTTGACTAGGACTTTCTCTAGCTACTCCTGTACTCTGGTTGTTTCATTTGGTCCGGCAGAGTGCAGAAGGTTTCCTTCTGCTTTGCATGCAGGCCAAGTTGCTTTAGTCGTGTCTGATTCTGTGACCCTGTGGACTGTAGCCCTGCAGTTTCCTCTGTCCATGGGAGTCTCCAGGCAAAGATACTGGAGTGGATTGCCTTGCCCTCCTTGGGATTTTTCCGACCCAGGGCTCGAACCCATGTCTCCAGGGCCTTCTGCATTGGCAGGCAGATTCTTTATCACTGAGCCACCTGCAAATTCCCCCTTCTGCTTTATAGAGACTTTTTTTCTAAAAAATATTACTGTTTATATTCTTAGTCTTTGTCTTATGAAGTGTAAGAATTAAACTTTTCTATACTTTCTTCTGCTTCTGGTGTCTAGCCTATTAGATTCCCCAAACCCTGTGTCACTCTAGTCCTAGAAGATTACCTAAGATCTCTCTTGCTCTTTCTTCTCAGCCTTGGTCTTCTATCTCAAGAGTCCTCATTTTGCTAAGAAGTCACTGATTCCCTCAGGATAAAAGTAACTCCTATACTATCATCTCACTTCCCTGATGTTATCTTTTTTCCTGAGATCATGGCTCCTCTAGTCAGGGTTACTTCAGAGTCTATCCAGCGCTTACAACATATTTTTGAAAAGTTATCCTTCAAAAACTAGTCTGTCATAACCAGAAACAGATGCCATAAATTATTTACTGAATGTCTACATGCCAGGATAGTGCTCACTGCTGGGTTATACATGGTAACATGTGTCTAAAATATTTAAAATAGTTAATAAGTTATATGTGTGCATTTTTATATCTGACCTATTCTCTAACTCAGGAACTAATGTTCTGCTGACTAACACGGAAATGTGACACATATGGTAAATGATTTTCTTAGTAGCGTACAAAATGTGATTCAGGAGTTGGCCTAGATAGTGGAGTAGGAAAAGTGAGTCAGGAATGCTTCCCAGAAGAAGTGTAACCTTAGGCAGGAATTTCAAAGATTGAGAAAGAGTTAATCAGGCATAAATTGTTATCAACTGGATCCAATATGACTTCTAAATAGCCTATGTTAGTACTTAAAATATATTTATTTCTATTAAAAGCATAAGTGAATTTGAAACATTAAAAATACATTTGAGGATATAAATGCTATCTTAAAAATTTTAACCATGCCAATTGATTTCTCCATAGGTGTTCAAAGCAATGAATATCCCACAAATCAGAAATCCTTCTCTGCCTCCCCCAGAAAAAATGCCTGAAGCCTATTCTGCAAAGATTGCTCTTTTGGGTGCCGGGCCTGCAAGTATAAGCTGTGCTTCCTTCTTGGCTCGATTAGGCTACAGTGACATCACTATATTTGAAAAACAAGAATATGTTGGTGGTTTAAGGTAATTCCTACATTTATTTCATGTTCATAGTGTTCAAAATAATGGGTAAAACAATTATGAATATTGGTTTGTAATCATATAGGAAGTTCAAGTTCACAGATGGTATTTTAAGTGTTCTTTTTCCAAATGCTCAAATTTTGCTTTCATTATTCACTTTAAATTTGCACTTGGCTTTAAGTAATATTTACTTTAAAATTTCTCTGTCTAGTTCTGTGAATTTAAGAGAAATCACAGCAAAATATTTTATGAATAGAGGAACCAATCATATGAAAGCTTATTTCATCCCTGTGAATCTTTCCTTTATTGGAGATATATGTGAGTTATGCAAATTAGAGATGGGGAAACCTACCTCCACAGAATATTGGATGATTCATTTCAGTGTGTATGTAGATGTGTTGTCTTGGTCATGTATTTTCATTCTCCAATCTCTTAGGTTTTGCATTTGATTACAATTAAGTTAGAAACTACTAAAAATATTCCATTTTACTGTATATTTATGCAGTGTTTTATCTCATAAGTACCATATTACTATTTGCTATTAAGCAACATCATTGTTATAAACCAGGATTCATCACATACACATTTATTCCCTTGGAGATCCACACACTAGTATGGAAAATATTCACTGTGTATAAGTGATTTTCAGATATTCATATCAGGCTTGGTCAATGGATGGAGTTTACTTTATTTAAGATAAATGGACTCTAGAATATATAGTGGAAAAAAGGCAGTTTTTTCAATGAGTGATGTTGGGCCAGTTGGACAAATATATGTAAGTTATTAAACTTAGAACATTTCCTCACGCCATATATATAAAACTAAGCTCAAAATGGCTTTAAAGACCTAAATAAAAGACATGAAACCATAAAACTCCTACAAGAAAACATAAGCAAAGCATTCTGTATCTGATATAAATCTTAGGAATATTTTCTTAGATCGATCTCCCAAGGTAAAATAAAGAACAACAAAAATAAGTAAATTGAATCTAATCAAGCTTGAAAGCTTTTGCATAGCAAAGGAAATCATCCACAAAACAAAAATACAATCTGTGGAATGGGAGAAAATATTTGCAAACAATATGGCCAACAGAGTGTAATTTTCAAAACAGCTTGTACAACTCAATGTCAGAATAAAATAAAATAAATAACCCAATCAAAAACTGGGCAGAAGACCTAAGTAAACATTTCTCTAAGAAGGACATACAGAAAGCCACCAGGTGCATGTAAAGATGCTCAACATTGATAATCATTAGAGAAATGCCAATCAAAACGACAGTGAGATGCACCTCACACAGGTCAGAATGGTCATCCTTCAAAAGTCTACAAATAACAAATGCTGGAGAAGTAGTGAAGAAAAGAGAAGTGGTCTGCACTCTTGGTTGGAATGTAATTTGGTGGAGCCACTATGGAAAATAGTACAGAGGTTTCTTAGAAAACTAAAAATAGAGCTACCATGTGATCCTTCAATTCCATCTCTGGATGGATATCCAAAAAATATGAAAACTCTAATATGACAAAAATGTATCCGTGTCAGTGTTCATAGCAGCACTCTTTACAGTAGCCAAGATATGGAAGCAACCTAAGTGTTCATTGAGAGATGAATGGATAAAGGAGGTGTGGTAAATATATATACAATGGAATATTATTCAGCCATAAAAAGAATGAAATATTGGCATTTACAGTAACTTGGTTGGACCTAAAAATTATCACACTAAGTGAAGTGAGTCAGACAGAAAAGACAAATATTACATGATATCACTTATATGTGAAATCTAAAAATAATTTAAATAAATTTATTTACAAACCAAGACTCACATAGAAAACAAATTTATGGTTACCAGAGGCAGAAAAGGAGGGTGAGAGAGATAAATTAGGAGCTTGGGGTTAACAGATACAAACTACTCTACCTAAAATAGATAAGCAACAATGATTTACTGTATAGCCCAGGGAACTTAATTCAATATCATGTAATATCCTATAATGGAAACTAATCCTAAAAATTATAAAATAAATGGAACTTTATAGCAGACATGTATTTTATTTAGGATCATAAAAAATAAACTTTATTTTAAGCAGGGACTGGATATTCCTTAAAACATTTGATGTAAAGATGAGCAAGAATTTGCATGATAATTTGATAATATTACTCAGTTTATTGTTTTTTTATGAGTGTGTCATTTTGCATCAGAAACTCATTGATTATAAAAATATATCCAGTTGGCATATCTGTTGCTTTACTTAGCATTTAAATTTTGATGGCTACCGAACTATTTTTTAAGCAACAGATTTGTCATATTTAATAATCAGAGAATAAATCAAATTGTGATTAAAATTTATGTTGTTTTTACATTTTATGACACCTGTAAATATATATTAATAGATAAATAAATGTCAATATTGGTAAAATGACAATATGCTAAACTCCAAGTAAGCTATTATTTATATAAAACTATTAGACTAAATCATTAAGTAAAAGTATCACATAGTATGAAGACCCTTTAGAGATGATATGAAGCTTAAACTGAAGAACAAATATCCTGATAGCCCAGAAGTAATTATTTTTCTGTATTGATGTTTCACTAGTTTGAGTTTTAAGGTATCACACATACTTAGTAAATTTTTCTCCTGGAAAGTAAAATACCTATTATTTTGCTGGAGTTATTTAAGCTTTCATTTTTAATGGCATTTTATCACAGCTTCATTAATTAGGAAAAACATAATCTATTAGCAACATGTGTATAAACACTGTACTTTTTTTCAGATACACACATCAATGAATATATGAACTAGTTTAAAAAATATGAACTTAATTGTTGGGTAGCTGTATAGACTAGAAATAATCTTTTTGCACCTTAATTGCATTTGCACAAGAAGCTTGAAAAGGAACAACCCCTGTTTGTGAATTATTGTGTTGATAATTTTGGTAGAAGGTTTTTGTGGTTGTTAGCATCTCTATTTTTTAACTCAAATACAGGATATGCATTTCTAAATCATATAAATTGACATGAAACTTGTGTTTCTATGTATTTCCTAAACATATTCAGTGGGACAGATTTCCCTGGGTTAATGACCTAGCATGTTTAAAAGAAAATCTTTTATGATTTGCCTTTGAATCTTCCCAGTCTCCAGGGACAATCAGGTCAGTTCAGTTCAGCTCGACTCTTTGCAACCCCATGGACTGCAGCACACCAGTCTTCCCTGTCCATCACCATCTCCTGGAGCTTGCTCAAACTCATGTCCATCAAGTTGGGGATGCCATCCAACCATCTCATCCTCTATTGTCCCCTTCTCCTCCTGCCTTCCATCTTTCTGAGCATCAGGGTCTTTTCCAGTGAGTCAGTTCTGAGTATCAAGAGGCCAAAATATTGGAGTTTCAGCTTCAGCATCAGTCCTTCCGATGAATATTCAGAACTGATTTCCTTTAGGGTTGTCCCTTGCAGTCCAGGGACAATATGAAGTGTTTAATCAGTCTCCTTTGGATTGTCCCATAGTAGCAGCATGTGTCACTGCTGTAGGATTATAAAAACTGACACTGGAATTTAGCCACAATCACACTGCAATACTTTTCTACTAATTTATTTTCTCACTTACAGATGCCTCTCATTCTCTTGTATCTTCAAAGTGGCTAAAAAAGATTACATTAGCTTTGTATTTGAAATCAATTGCTTAAAGAGGTGATGTCAAGTTTTATCTTTCCTTTTCCTTTGCATCCAAACAGAATCTTTTAAACCTAGTGAACAAGTATCACAGCCAGTTTTTAAAGCATCACTAAGCTGGGTAAAAATTATCCAGGACTTAATCCCTATTGTATGGTGTCATGATGGTGTCAACAAATTTGTAAAATAATCAGTAGTTTTGCTTTTGTTGAATTGTGGCTTCTCCCCCACCAATATGTGAGTTTTAAAAGTGAAAAAGTTTAAAGGGCTTGATATTATGATAACAAAGTTATGTGAATGTGGTATTACATACAAATGTAATGTGATGTGTATGGTATATATATGTATACTTTCTGATTTTTTTCTATTATACAATTCATATATATTCATATATATGAATATGACTTTTTGTTAGTGTAATTAGAATAATAATGTCCTTTGCCTTAGCTATTTTAGATGTTATGTTTTCACTACGTCTATTGCGTTTCATGTTGACTGACAATAAAGAAATAGGGTTTAGGTGAAATAGTTTTATTTGTAGAAAGTATTTTAAGAACATGTGTGATGTAACACAAATTTAAAGTGTGGTACCTGTATCATAATAAACTAAAGCAAAGTTTTTTCAAAGTATGAGAATTGTGCTTTAAAAATAAGGGAAGGAGATTTTTTAAAATTAATTCCATTTAGATGAATGAAACATGAATATACAAGAATGATTTTTTTTCAGGAAATCTGAGCCCTCCACTGACTGACTTTACTAAAAGATTTGTGGCCACAAGGAAAGTTTCTTTTGAAACTTTCTTGTTAAAACAGAACATATAGAATGAAAGCTTGTCTTAATAAACACAACAAACTTGAGATATAACTATTCTAATAAAATTCCATCTTCTATCCTCATATCACCTTTCTCAATGTGCAGTCTTGAGGGTAAGCTCCCTTTCTCCAATTTTTCTTCCTTTTTTATTTCATTCCTTCCTTCATTTTTTATTTATTTATCTCCTACTATGTGCTGGTCATTACCTTAGGCCATAGAGTTACAAGATGAATAAAATAAAGTGCTTGTTCTCATGGGAGCATATGTTCTGGTAGTGGGTTGTTTAAGTCATTCAGTCATGTCCGGCTCTTTGTGACCCCATGGACTTCAGCATGCTAGGCTTCCATGTCCTTCACTATCTCTTGGAGTTTGCTCAAACTCATGTCCACTGAGTCGATAATTCCATCCAACCATCTCATCCTCTGTCACCCCATCTCCTCCTGTTCTCCGTCTTTCCCAGAATCAGTGTCTTTTCCAGTGAGTCAAATCTTCTCATCAGGCAGCCACAGTATTGGTGTTTCAGCTTCAGCATCAGTCCTTCCAATGAATATTTAGGTTTAATTTCCTTTAGGATTGACTGGTTGGATCTCCTTGCAGTCCCAGGGACTCTCAAGAGTCTTCTCTAAAACCACAGTTCAAAAGCATCTACTTTTTGGTGCTCAGCTTTCTTTATAGTCCAACTCTCAGCTCCATATATGACTACTGGAAAAACCAGCATTGACTCTACAGGCCTTTGTCATTAAAGTGATGTCTCTGCTTTTTAATATGCTATCTAGGTTTGTCATAGCTTGTCTTCCAAGGATCCAGTGTCTTTTAATTTCATGGATGCAGTCACTGTCTGCAATGATTTTGGAGCCCAAGAAAATATAGTCTGTCACTGTTTCCATTGTTTCCCCATCTATTTGCCATGAATGATGGGACCAGATGCCATGATCTTAGTTTTTTGAAAGTTGTTTTAAGCCAGCTTTTCCACTTTCCTTTTTCACCTTCATCAAGAGGCTCTTTGATGAAGAGAAATCTTCATCAAGTTCTTCTTTGCTTTCTGCCATAAGGGTGATATCATCTGCATATCTGAGGTTATTGATATTTCTTCTGGCAATCTTGATCCCAGCTTGAGCTTCATCCAGCCTAGCATTTCACATGATGTACTCTGCATATATGTTAAATAAGCAGGGTGGCAATATATAGCCTTGACATACCCCTTTCTCAATTTTGAACCAGTTCATTGTTCCATATCTGTTTCTAAGTGTTACTTCTTGACCTATATGCAGGTTTCTCAGGAGAAAGGTCAGGTGGTCTAGTATTCCCATCTCTTTAAGAATTTTCCACAGTTTGTTGTGAGACCCACACAGTCAAACATTTTAGCTTAATTGATAAAACAGAAGTATATGATTTTCTGGAACTCTTTTGCTTTGCAATATAGTTTTTCCTCTATAAAAGTATACATTTTTTAGTATGCATATCACACATGCATACATACATGTTCTATAATTATATAGAAAATATATATACTTTTCTATATAGTTATTGAATACATATGTATCTATGTATGATGTACATATCAAAAGCTGTATATTTTCAAATAATTTTTTATTTTTTAAGGTTTTCTTCTCTTAAGACATTTATGGATTTGCTAGTAAATAGATCAACTACATATTGTGATAAACTTAAATGTATAGGAATTGCTTTTGATGAATTCTCTACTCACTATTTGTTTTTCATTGTTTTTATTTTTACATCAATTTCTACTGTTTCTGTAATAACCCATTCATGTTTTGTCATGCATATAAAAATATGTATTTCCTCATACGCATCTTATACATTATGAAAATACCCTTAGAAGAAATACTTATTCTTTTAATACTGATCAGTAACACGTGTTGCCTTTTTTAAACTGCTGATTTTTCTACAAATGTTTCTCTCTCTTTTTTTAGTACTTCTGAAATCCCTCAGTTCCGGCTACCCTATGATGTAGTAAATTTTGAGATTGAGCTTATGAAGGACCTTGGTGTAAAGGTAAGTGAAAAACATAACATTTGTGTATTGCTTTAAAAGAAAGGAGTAAGCTCTGTACTGAAGATTAACAGCAAAATGTCACACACTTTAGGAAAGAACAATTAAAAGCTACACCAGGCAGAAGCAGAAAGATGCTTCTCCTTGCTTAGGGCATTTGTCTGTCTACTGTCTGAATGCCACTAGCCTGGAAAAGGGCAATCAATAGTTCTCATCTGGCACGCCTGCATGTGATTAATTGTCTGTAAGAAACAAATTCCTAAATTGCTTTAGGGGTTCAGTGCAGCTAATAGAAGGATTTGGTTTCTTTAATCACATTGTGTGTGTGTGTGTGTGTGTGGAAGTTATGTGAACTCTGAAACATTTGTATTACATGATTTGAGACAAAATTTCTTACAGAGGTTTAATTTATTTACTATGTGCATAATGTCAATAGTGTTAATGTGATAATCCTTTTTCAATATAAACAGCAATTCAGCAAGGTAGAAAGCAGCAGTTCTGTATTTTTAATTGTTTTGTGAAATAAATATTGTGTTGTTCTTTTAAAGATGATCAAAAATCAATACATTTTACTTTTAGATATAGCTTTAAATATTTCCGTTCTTTTTTTTTATATTTCCATTCTTTTGTATTATATTTAAGAATATATGCTGCCGCTTCACCTAAATTTATTGCTATTTTTGTTACAAAACTTTAATTTTCCATGACAGATATAAAATAATGAATTAACAGAGTATTATAAATTACACAATACATTCTTGTAAGTACATATAAAAACTGTTTTGAAAAGTGGTTAGCAAACTATTCATGATTCTTGCATTTAGAAATACAAATTAAAATAACCAATAAAAAGAAAAACACTTATAACAGTATTTTGTGTTTTTATACTTATAATTAATTTTATTTGGCAGTGATCAGGTAATGAAATGTGTATATAATCACCAAATAAAAAATCTTCTAGGAAATATGAAATACATATGTGCACACCTTTATGAAAACTGTTCACAATAATGTTTGAAACAGATTTAAGGGTGATTACTTGCTTCATATAAATATGTCCTGAAAAGTTCTTTAAATGTCTTTCATTTTGAATGCAAGTTCTTTCCTAAATCTCATTAAGTAAGGAAATGATTATTGAGAACTCTAAGTAATATATTAGGTGATACTTGAAATTGAAGATAAATCAAAAACTAATTTAAGACACCTCTAAATTCATCTTATAAATAATTATAAAATTGCATTCAATTTGTACCATACTAGATATGTTGCAGAAAGTAGGGCATACCTGTTACTCTTACGAGGAACCTCATCAAGGCATAGTGACACAGTAGTGGTCAGTACACTGAGTGCCAAGAAATGTACGTTTCAGCTACAGTTTTGCCCCTTCCTAATTTTATAGTCAGATAGCCTTGATGAAGTTAGTTAATGTCCTTCCCCTTGGTCAATATTTGTTCAAAGGGAAAAGTATGCTATTACCACTTTTATAAACATATCTGCTTATATATGCCTGAAACTATATTTGCTCTGGACATGTGTAATAATCCAGTAGAATAAATTGCCTTTGGGAAGGTGTAGGAAGTCGTTTATCATCATTTTGTACATTTGAATTTTAAACCCTATGAATTTATTATATTATCAAGAAATAATTAGAACCTGAATTGAGGAAGTTAGTACTATCTTGTCCATGACTCAGGTTGTTTTAAAATGTGAAGGACATGAATCAGCCATGGAGAAGGAGATATAAAAAATAAATAAATAAAATGTGAAGGAAATAAAGTATTCAAACTTGCTTTGTAAACAATAAATTCTATGTACAATTCTGAAGAGAGACAGTAACAAGATTCTTTTTCAGCTTTGAGGACTGGCATCCACTAATGAAGTACTTTCATCTTATATGACTTACCAAACTTACCCATAAAAGGATATATCTTTCAAAAATTGGTCTAATCTTGTTACCACTTTTTCCTTATCACCACATTCTTCTTATAACCTGCCTTATGTTTTTACCTCTCAGCTCACACTGTATATTTTAGAGTCAACAATAATTTACTGGCAATGAAGTGGATTTATCTCTGGATTTATTCTCTTTGGCTCCTGGGCAGTGTGTGATATATTCTTATATGTATGCATGTAACTGTGCATGTATGTGCCCATATTTATATATGTATGTATGTATTTTTAACTTTCATGATCTAGCATTATCTTGGATATTGCCTGTTTTTTTTCTCTATTAGATTTGTTTCAACTTGATAAAATTATTAAGAATTTACTTTGGCCAAGTTATGTACTAAGGATTCTTCTAGTACTGTCTTTCTTTTGAACTCCAGTTCTGTATTCTTAGTAGTTTACTGAGCATATTTATCATCCAAATAACATACATTCATCATATCTAAACTTAGCATAATTAATTATCTTCCCTCCCAAGTATGTTCTTCTAAATTTCTTATTGAGTAATTTCAACTTATTTCATACTAATAGCTGATAGATTAGTTCTTATTTATTTTAAACTGAATTTTTCCAATTAAAAATTGTGTCACAATAAAACTCTATTTGTACATTGTATGTATGTATGTATATTATATATATATATATATATATATATATATATATATATAT